GGAGAAGGGGGTCCCTGGGTTGGGAAGCACAGGTCTGTGCCACAGGCCCCCTCTACCCTAAATGCTCATTAGCGAAGCCAGACCGTGGGACATTGTTGGGGGAAGGAGAGCTCAGGAAATGGAGCCGACTTGGGCCCACTGAGCTGATGAACTTATGGGAAGAAAGGCAATCAAGATGAGGTGGTGTGTGAGGTGCTGGGGGAATGCTGACGCATGGAGCAGGCTTGGACCAGCCACGGAGCGGCCGGAGTGACAGCCTCGCCCGGCCAGCTGGAACCACTTTCCAACTTACCGAGCATTTTCTCACTGTTATGTCATTTGCTTGTCACAAAAGCCATATGTGGTGAGCAGAGTTGGTGTCCCCATTGCCTCCTTCCCTGTATCTGAAGATGAAACCAAGGCCATGAGAGCCAACTTGGCCAAGACTGCATGGCCCACGAGGGGCAGACAGGCCTGGGACCTTGCTCACCGGGTCTCTGGGCTGGAGTGGTTTGAGCCAGTGCCTGGCGTGGGACTTGGAAAAACAGACGCGAAGCAAGGAGAGCAGACACACCTCACACCAGGTGTCCATTTGTGCATAATCAAACCCAACAGGCTAGTTTTTTTTTTTTTACAACCTGATAATTGACACACTTATTGATTGGTGCCATTGACCATTCTGCTGTAAGGATCTGGAGGAGAAAATTTAGAGGAGAATGTGTCCTGCTGTGTCTTGGAGGCCATACTCTGAAATGGCAAAGAGCTCGGATACTGGCTCTTTTACTGGACAAATTACCAAACCTCCAAGTCTCAGATTTTCTTGTTTGTAAAATGGGGATAAGAGCACTTGCCTTATATGCTGTGGATTAAGCGGAACAACATGTGCAGGAAGTCCCCCATAAAGGAGGCTGTCATTATCATTATTAGCGTGATTTACCAGAGAGTTGTGCACAGAGCTGGGGAAGCGTGAGAAAGATGATGTTGATGATGCAGACAGTGATGGCTCCCATTTTCTAAGCACCCACTGTGCCTTGGGTGCCATGACAGACCCTGGAGGACGACCGTGAGCAGCCCCTGGCCGGAGGGGCGCCGGGTCGGTAGGGGAAGCCCCGTGTGCTGGAGCCCTGGAAGAAGCCCCCCGGCCTGGATGGGAGGCGGGAGGAGGCACATCCCTTCCGGTACGCGTCAAGACTTTCTTGAACACCCACTAAGGGCCAGGCCCTGTATTAGGACTGAGAACATTCCATATGGAGGCAGCAACAGAGGTGACAACTGCCTGCTTCCTTACCTTGCTAAGGGATGGGCGCCTTTTTAAACTTTTGGTGGAATAGTTCCCACCACTGTTGACTGCTGTCTGGGGTCAGGCAGGCTGGGTGGGAGGGGAGAGCTCATGACACTAGAGGAGAGAAAGTCAATGGAGTGGGGAATGGGCTGATCCCGGACTCCACGTCAGACCCTGGCACATAGTAGGTGTTCAGGAAATGGGGGGCCCTCCCGTCCTTGAGGAATGAAGCTTGGTGTTTTCACTCATGGTCTTGCCAGCTTTCCAAGGGGAGGCAGAGCTTGGAGGAGCTTGGCTGAGCCCGGGTGCAGTAGGCAGGGGTGAGCTGCTTTGTGGCTGTGTCACTGGATGGGGTCAGCAAAACTCTTCTAAACAGGGAGCTTTTCCCAAAAACCTTCAGGGGAGGAAGCATGAGGGGTGGGAGGAGTGAGGGGGTAAATGTGAGCTGAAGTCCTACCAGCACATGTAGGTCTTGTGTTGGACGGGATTCGGCTGTCCCCTTCAAGGTCCAGGGTTCTGGTGGAAGGCGACTGGACAGCTCCTTCTGCTGCGATGCTGTAGTGCAGCTCTTCTCAAACTCCTGTGCACATCAATCGCCTTGTTAAAATGCTGACTCTGATGGAGGAGAGAAGGGAGTCGGGGGGAGCAGACCTGGGATTCTTGCATGCTTAACAAGCTCCCAGATGATGCTGATGCTGCTGCCCGTGGACCACCCCTTGAGAAGGAAGGCAGCTGTTGGTGCCCCACCTATGTTTACTCAGCACTCTATCACGTGGGTGCTGACCTGCCATCTTGTGACTGCAACCCTGCCCAGGGCTTTCTCTGGCCACCAGAGTCTGCTCAGCCCGGACCTCTGAGATGCCAGTGACTGCTAGGAGAGGTGGTCAATGCCCCAAGGCCCTCTTCCACAGCAGGGGGAGCTGAGCTGTGTTCTGCACTGTGCCCCAGGGTCCTCAGTGATGTTGGAGCTCGGTTGCCCACAGGAGTAACCCACTCAGGAATACACTCGTTGTTGGCTTTCTTCCTGAGATCACCTCCCCAATAAACTGCCTGCACACACGTGCTTGTCTCGGGTCTGCTCTCGGAGAACCCAACTACAGATGTGGCCAGCTGCAAGCCATCCCAACCCTCGAGGCAGAAGGGGAGTTTATTACAAGCCTATCAGGAGGCTCAAGGACCACACTTAGAAGCCAGACAAGGACGAGGGGAAGTGCTGAGAGCCCGGGCACAGGAGATGCAGTAACCAGGAGAGTCTGGCCCAGGGCTGCCCACGCCCGTGCTGCTCAGGGCATTGCTGCTGCCCTGACCAGTCCTCACCCTCTCTCTGTCTTTGTGCCATTTGATCACAGCCTCCAATTGGCTGTGCCTGTGTCACCAGTCCATACTTTGACCTCCAAAGGCTGGAGAGGAGGAGGAACTGGACCACTTGGATATCCATAGTAGGGGGTGGACACAGGCCCCCAACAAGATGACCCACAATAGGAGAATTGCCTTTAGATAGGAAGCAGGGGTAGGATGCTGGGTGGACCCGCTCCTTGAAAAAAAAGTCCATTACAGCCATGTTCAGTGTCAAGTACAAAAGCGCCAAGTTGTGGGTAAAAAGGACACTGCTGATGAAAGTGCTGAGCCATGACTGGCCCCAAAGAGACAGTCCCCCCCGGGCAGTCTGCTGTGTTTGGTATGCTCACAGCATCCTCCTTGCCCTCCGGGAGGAGGATGTGGTTTGAGCCCTTAACTGGAAGCACGTGGGGATGGCGTCATCCCAGATTCCTCAGTCCCGAGGGCAATTAGCATTTAAAGGGACGTTCCTTGCCCATTCAGTAAACAAAGTCATTTTACTTTCAATTACTCTCATTGCCTTAGGAAACTTCCTTTCTTGTCCCAGACTTAAAGTTAGTAGCTGTACATCCTAACTAAGAAACAGCCAGAAAATCACCTGCATGAATGGAGTCTAAATCCATCCTCTTTCCTGTAAGTTACAATTATAGCCACTCCCCTGATGACTGGACTTTTCAACCTTTTGGTCAACAAAGACCTTCATAGACAAGGACCACATAGACGATCGTGGTCCTATAAGATTAGTACCATACAGCCTAGGCGTGTAGTAGGCTTTACCATCTAGGTTTGTGTAAGTACACTCTACAATGTTCGCACAAGGGCGAAATCGCATTTCTCAGAACGTTGCCCCATCGTTAAGCGATGCAGGACTGTATTCCTGTGTTCCTCTTGCCTCTCTCCAAGAAAGGGCTGGACTGATAGGACTGGCTTGTCACCATCTCCTCCTGGGAGGATGGAAGAAGCACAGGATGGGCAGGAAGAAGAGCCAGAGGAAAAGTGCCCCGCAGGGCCCTGAAGATCGCTGACTGGGGCTGTGGGTGAGGGTGACACTGTGGACCTTTGGGGAGAGGAACAGGAAGCTGAGCATGGCCCATCGCCTCAGAGGCGGAGGCTGTCACCGTGAGCTTTCCTCCTCTCAGGACTGGCTCTGTCTCTGACTTTTTCACTGTTTTAGTCGAGGCCCATTTCATGGTAAGGAAAGGAGAGCCGCTCTGCTCTCTGTGCAGTTCATACTTTGGAGCTCACTGGATGGGTCCCCTCCATCTCTTCAGCTCAGACTGTACATGTCGGTGGTCTGTCTGAGCTTGCATGCCTTTGGATGAGAGCCTGTTTGAGGTCCTGCCCACCCTGCCAGCTGGTGGGGGTGTCAAATGGTATCCACGTGTCTGTCTAGACAGCAGGAACAGGGTGTAGGGGGGCCGTTTCTTAAAGGCAGTATGGACCCAGAGACAATAATGGATCTCTCCAGGATAGGGTCTCACTCCTGGAAATGGATGTCAGTGTGGAGTGGCCACCACTGCTTTTGCACCTGCTATCAAGATACTTCTAGGGGCTGGCCTGGTGGTGCAGCGGTTAAATTCACACGTTCTGCTTCGGTGGCCCGGGATTCGCTGGTTCAGATCCCGGGCGCAGACATGGCACCACTTGGCAAAAGCCATGCTGTGGCAGGCGTCCCACATATAAAGTAGAGGAAGATGGGCATGGATGTTAGCTCAGGGCCAGTCTTACTCAGTAAAAAGAGGAGGATTCGCGGCAGTTAGCTCAGGGCTAATCTTCCTCAAAAAAAAAAAAATACTTCTAGGCATTGATGTAGGTGTGGCTCGACCACCTGCATCCCCATCCCTCGGGGACTTTGTGTGGAAGATGTACTCCAGAATTCCATCCTGGAATCTCTGAAGGCGGGATCCAGAAATTGACATTTGTAACAAGCACCATCCGCCACGCTTATGTGAAAAGCCTAAAAATCCTTGTTTTAGCTCTTCTTTGGTGCCTGCTAATGGCAGATTCCTGTCTTCTCTTGGGTGAACTAACTCACCTCGCTGGTTTCATAGCAGATCTAAAATAATGGGTCTTCTTTCCCAAACACTTGGAGTACTTTGGTTGTGCTTTCCATTTTGGAGACAGAAAGACTTAGAGGCTAAAGGTTGCTTGGGATGGATTTCAGGAGGAGGCTGAATCAGGAGGATGCTGAATCATTAGAGGCCAGACCAGGCCTGGGGCAGCTGGGATAGGCCATTGCTGTTAGACAATCGTTTTAGGATTGTCCAACCACTTGGCCTGAGGCTGGTAATGAGGCAGCTGTCAAAGGCTACCTGGGCGTGGCCCTGAAGGTCTTAGCCAGTGTTTAAATTCCAAAGTCAGTGCTGCCACCCTGGTGATGTCTCTCTTTCCCCTCCAACAGGAGTGCGTCTCGACAGAGTGCGTGGAGGCCGCCAGAAATACAAGCGACGGCTGGACTCGGAGAGCAGCCCCTACCTGAGCTTGCAGATTTCCCCACCTGCTAAAAAGCCATGTGAGTGCCAGGGCGGTCTGTGCCCTTTTGCCAGCATTTGTACCCAGGACATCTGGCGTCCTTTGGGGGAAATGCCATCTTCCCACCACTGGGTTATGGGGACAGTGTGGATTTGGGGAGGTGACTTCAGTGCCTGGCATTGGTGTCAGATACTGCAGAATGATACTTCATTCAGAAGGCCTTTCTGTATGAGATGTCGCAGAATGTGGATCAAATGAAGCATGGGCCTAGGAAGGCATGGGCTCCAGCATCCAGAACACACCCCCCCCTCACCTCCCACCCGAAGCAGGTTCCTCTGGGGAGAATTCACCAGGCAACTTCCCTTAGAGGGATGTTTCTCAACAGCCCAAATCACTACGGCCAGCAACTTTGTGGAGTCAGAAAGGGTGGGGAGATGATGACAGCCATGTTTGACCTTCCTGGGGCTCCTCAGAACCTGACTTTTCATCCTGAGCCCTCCCAGGCTCCATCCTGGCCCCTTTCCTCTGTTCCCAGGCATTTACATTCCCCCTTTGGTCTTTGCAGTGACCAAGATCGTGTCGTACCTGCTGGTGGCTGAGCCAGACAAGCTCTACGCTATGCCTCCCCCTGGCATGCCCGAGGGGGACATCAAGGCCCTGACCACTCTGTGTGACCTGGCAGACAGGGAGCTCGTGGTCATCATTGGCTGGGCCAAGCACATCCCAGGTGAGTCACGTGGGACTAGGGGGAGAGTGCAGCCAGGGCCTCTCAGCCACTCTTCCCGCGGCCGGCTTCCGATGCTGTGGGACCCAGGAACCCTGTGGAATCTTGGCAAGCCTGTTTTTCTCTGGGCTCCTTTTCTCTCCTTGTGGGATTGGAGGAGAGCAGGTGTTTGGAAGGTCCTGTAATGTTCCTGAACTGCTGGGGGCTCTTCAGAACCGGTTCTCATTCTGCAGGGCTGTGATTGCATCTACAACAGGTCGTATTCCAAGAGCAAGTTCTTTGAACTCTTAAAGGCCAAAGAGTAGGGTTTTCTTGTAGACCTTATTGGAAATATGCTGGGAAATGATGCAGAAGAGGGACAGGCTCTCTTGCTTCCTATTAGAGGCAGGGGGAGTGGAGCGGTTAAGAGCATGGGCTCGGAAGCAGGTTGGGATTCAAGCTCTGGGTCTGCAGTTTACTAGCTGTGTAACCCTGGGCAGGTCACCTGGCCTCTCTGCAAACAGGGAGTCACAGCAGTGACTCCTTCGTGGGCTTTGACGTGAGGATGAAATGTGAGCATGCGTGTGCAGCTTTTGGCATGTGCTACCATCAGTTGCGTGCTCACTGTTGCCACTTGCCTGATCTTAAGGCAGGCCTGGCTCTTCATCTGCATCGTGTGACTTGAAGATCATTTCCAGCGTGGAGAGTATGTGTAATCAACGGGTTGCTGGCCATATGGACTTCTCTTCCTTGCATGGGGCCCCCAGCCCCTCTTTCAGCTTCTCTTGTTCTGGATAAACGGTGGGAGCTGATTTTTAGTTTTATTTTTGTAGACACCGATACCCACATGTTCTGCATTACACACATGTTGGGAGCTTTCTAAAGCCTGTGCAGTTTATTCCTTCCAGGCTGACAGCTTGGCTCATAGTGTGGTAGAGACATCCTGCTCTCCTCTGCCAGTGATCCGCCATGGACTCAGATTCTTACTGGCTCCGTGACCTGGGGCAGTTTATCTTCCCGTCTGCAGATCCTTTTGTGTTTCTCACCAGCTCTGAGAGATAAATACAGCATGCGTGGTTGTATGGCAAAAGATGTCCTGGACTTTAGATGCCGAGGCCCCCAGTTGATTGGGATGAGTCAGAAAGTGCTTATATAAGACATTGTGTGCACAACTGCAGAAGGAACCTTCCCAGGACAAGGGCTTGGAGGTGGTGCTGGTGTCACTCAGCTGGCAGGAAGCCTGGAATGCCTTCTGCCGGGACTCCGGTGGCCCCGGCATTTTGCTCAGGGATGGGCTCCCTGGGGATCTGGCAGAGCGCCCTTCCTAAGGAGCTCAGCCTCTCAGGATTACACACTCAGTAGTTTTTGAATCTGCCCGGTGCTGGTTCAGCACAGATGTGGGGTCAGGCCACTGCTTAAGACACCTCAGCCTGGATTGCTCCAGTAACCCAGGGCCAAATCGGGTACAGCTCGTCCTGCCCCTCACACTCTGCCCCCACTCCCATCACACGCTCCTCATCCCGGAGGATCGACTGCATCCCCGCAGTGGCTCAGGAGTGGCTCCTGGCGGTCCCCTGGGTCACTGCTTCCTTCTCCTACCACCCCATCCCCTTGATACCTTTGAGCGGGTGTAGAACCAGGGGGCACTGTCTCCCCTGCACCCATTTTTCTCCATGTGTTCCCACCTCCCCGCTCCCTCTCTCATCTGTGCCCAACCAAAAGGGCAGTGGGAAGAGTGGATGGCTGTTAAGGGCACATTTGGGTTCAGGCACACCTGCGCTCTGGTCCCGGCTCTGTCCTTACTGGCCTTGTTCAAGACATTTCATTTTTCTGAGCTTCAGTGTCCTCGCCTGTGAAATGGGAATCATAATAGACCCCCCCCTCACTGCGATGCTAGGAGGTACAACACACTTAACCTAGCCGTGACACAAAGTAGGTATTTGATAAATGGTGGATGGCTGTGACCATGGTTGTCATTGTTGCTAATAGTAGTAAAAACCTCCTTTCACATCATCATTTTTCCTTGTCCAAAGCTGAATTCTTTTTGATTAAAAAATAAAATAAACATAGGGGCTCATTTGTCTGTCTCAAATGCTAATTTGCCTATTTTGCATAAATCTGCATGCTGAATTATTTGGGCCTGACCTTCTAGTGTTTAAGGTAAAATTAATTAATAAAGTCTCCTGCCACTGCATGTTAAGGGCGATGACACATCAAGTGTCTGATATATTTAAACTAATCAAGTCAATCCCATCTCAGATTAGATGGAAAACTCGTCTGAAGACCTGCTCACCAGCCCTTCGGGAGAGAGCAGGTTGAGTAGAGGGATGCCAGCCAGGGCCCGACCCTGGGACTTGTGTCAGCTCCTGTCCACCCTGGTTCCTGGACAGGCAGAAGGACTGACTCCTCAACACAGCTCAAGTTAGAGCTCTGAGGAGGAGCCCGAGCTGCTGCCCTTAACCATAGGAAACCACACCGCATGGCTTAGCATCCTCTAGCCTCTGATCCAGAGCCTGGCACACAGACAGCACTTCATACTTGCCTTTGCGTGCATTTATTGAGCATTCATTGTGTGTAAGCTGTCTTCCTATGAGTTGTGGATGATAGAAAGAATTAGATTAATTTCTGCCCCAAGGATCCCTGTTGGGAATAAGGTGGATGATTAAAAAAACAAAACTTTTTCTTGGAATTTTTTTAAAGATTTAATTTTTCCTTTTTCTTCCCAAAGCGCCCCCGGTACATAGTTGTGTATATTTTAGTTGTGGGTCCTTCTAGTTGTGGCATGTGGGATGTCCACGCCCAGGATCCGAACCGGCGAAACCCTGGGCTGCCGAAGTGGAGCACGCGAACTTAACCCACTTGGCCACGGGGCCGGCCCCATCATAGAATTTTTCAAACAAAGGTAGACCAAATAGTATCTTGAACCCCTATGTAGCCATTACCCTGCTTCAACAGCTACACCCACGGCCAGTCTTGTTTCATCTCTGCCCACCCATTTCCCACCTCCTGTTTTTCATATGCGATGAGGCGCATACTTAGAATGCAGTGAGAAGAACCACAGGACGGAGTTCAGAAGCAGGAAGGATGCCACGGCTGCCAGGGGAGAGAGCAGAACCTGAGTTAGGCCTTCAGGATTGATGAGCAGTGGCCATGGAGGAAGAGTCCAGAAGGGCGTGAGATGCTGTGAACACAAGTCGCATGCTGTCACACAGAACCTGACGCATTCCTGTGGGCAGTGAGCGACCAGCTTAGCCAGAAGGAAGGGTCATTTGAGCACAAAGTCATTCCCAGCACCCGCCTCCCTTTTGCTTGCATTTTTGAACACACGCTTTCACAGGGTGAGTTCCATGGGGACCTTGGGGCTGACTGTGGTTTGCTCAGAATAGCAGCCACTCTTTGGTTTGAGTCATCTGAAGTTGCCCTTCCCCAAATGCAGGTTTTTACCTTGAGCTGATTTTCCAAGGATTGGGCGGCCCACAGGACAAGCCCACGTCTTTGGAGTGGCCACCTCTTGTTTCCCATGAGCGAGAGACTAGAACAAGAGGCAGCAGGCTTTCCCAGGCAGTGGGTACCACTTGACGAGCTGCAGCCTCCAGGTGTTATTAGCCCGTTGTCCTTCCACTCCAGGCTGCCCTGGCCAAGAGAGCCTTCTCCGGCCACCCCATGTGAGTCACTGCTGGCCCTGCCCAGCCCAGGCTGACATGTGCTTGGCTTCTGCAGGGGCCCCCCTCAGAGGCCTCTTCACGCACGGTCCCTCAGCAGCCCTGCTCCCAGGTAGCCACCGTCTGCCTCACGCTGGGGAGAGAAGAACGCCAGCGGCCGATGAAATATGGGCTGCCGAGTGACAGCAGCTGTGTCTGGAGTGGCCTCAGATCCTATAATTACATCTCCCTTTATTACCTCTGCTAATGGCCCTCCAGGTCGACAGAAACGATAATAAATTAACAGATTATGAACTCCACTTGCCACAAATTATGTGCACTTTTTTTTTTTTTTTTTTTTAAATTCCAGGAGCTTGTGCTGTCAAATCACTGGGGGATGGGGGCTTGGGAAGAGCCTGAGTGTTATTAGATCACTCAGTGCAGATAAAGCAACTTTCCAGGGCAGCGGAGGTCGAGGTGGGAGACCTGGGGAGAGAGGGGCCGAACTCCAGGGGCACGGGCCACCCCCAGCCTCTCCCCGCAGCCCCCTCTGTCGCAGAATCACCGATTACCTCATGAGGGAGACCGAGCTGCAGGGCGGGGAAGAGTACTTCAGCCCGTTTGGGTTGAAATAAAAGCAAATGTGTGCTTCTGGTAAAGACATTGATGTAACAGAGGCATGGAAATGATGAGTTCCAAATCCCTTTCTTACGCACCCTTCTGGGAATTTCCTGTGCTTTTACAGCCACTGCGCCTGCGTGTGTGCGTGTGCGCATGCTTCTCCCCTCCTGCCGTGGGATCATACTGCAACCCTGCTGGATGCTCTGCTTATTTCATTTGATTGTATAAAATAGTGGCACTTACCATGTGCTCAGCAGTGTTCTGGGTGCTCCACACCTTACCTCATTTAATCCAAACAAACTCCAAGAGGGATGTAATATTATTATTCCCATTTCACAGATGAGGAAGCTGAGGCACAGAGACTGGACTTGCCCGGGGTCACACACAGCCAGTGGTCAGTAGAGCTAGGATTCCAACAGTCTGGCTCTGGTGTCTGTGTTCTTAATGGTTCCTTCCCTGCTTACGCTCTTGGTGTCTTTCTACATCCACACAAACAATTCTACCTCTTTCTTTCTTTGGCTTCTAATGTGCCATTCATTTAACCAATAATTACATTTATTACATTTATATAATAAGGACGTGTACTAGATTAGTTACATTTAGGCTGTTTCCTGCTTTGGGTCTTTACAAACAGATCTAACAAACGCTCTTTTCACATTTATCTTTGTGTATTTATGCATACTTTTCTTTCTAGGAGAAATTCCTGGTGGTGGCATCGCTAGGTTGAAGGGAGCATGCCTTTTGTTTTGTGCTTGATTTGACTTTATTTTTGGACACCTTACACATGGACAGATTCAAAAGCCAAAACGAGACACAAATGCTTACACAGATGTCTCACCTCCTTATCCCCTCCCCCCACCGTCCTCCTAGAGGTAGCAGTTTTTATTTCTCATTTTTCCTTCTAGGGTTTCTATTTTCAAATATTAGAAAATAGTTGCACTTTTTTCAAGTATTAGAAAATATCAAATATTTCCCCCCTTCCTTGTGCAAAACGAAGCCGCCTACATACGCCATCCAGCGCTCTGGGTGTACGTCTGGGTTTTCAAAGCTCTTTCCACCTCCTTTTGAAGATGCTCGAAGAGGAAGAGATTAGTCAGGCTGAGTCCACTACTCAGATCAGCCTGGCAGAGAGGTGTGGACACAGGCCTCACAGGTGCATCCTCTGATGGTGGCACAAAGCTCTCTTTAAGTCACTGTATCCTTGTCTCCTGCCGTGATGTCATGGTGACAAGTGGTACTTGGGGTGCATCTTTCCCTCTTGACCGTGAGCTCCTGAAGGCAGGAACCAGTTCTGATTTGAGCTCGCCATTCTGTCCCCAGTGCCTAGCACAGGGCCTGGCACTTATTGGTGCTCAGTAAATATCTGTGGAATGAATGAAGGGGCAGAAGCAGCTTCTCTCCTTCTAGTGGCCATCCCTGCATGATTAGCCTCACACAGGTCTTCTCTCCTTCATTCCCCGAAGCCTAGCTCTTACCTTGCCCTCTCTGCCACCTTCAAATTCCATTGTCTATTAATTTTGCCCCATCCACCTCCTGCATCTTCCCTACCAGTCTGTCTGCTTTCAGACGCCCCCATGCAGTCCCCCACCTTCCGACATACACACCCTCATGTGCTGGCTGATTGGTATCTGTTAATTAATGTCGCCCAAGGCCTCTCCTGCTCAGAGGCCCGATAAGGGAAATTGGATGTCCATTTCTATCTATCTTTTATTACCTCCTGGCTCTCCTCGCCACCACAGGCAGCCACACACCCTCTCCCACACTGGGTCCGGGTAACAACCCACGTGCACCTGACCCCTCTGTGCCACAGCCTCTCCCCTGAGAAGGCATGTCCATCCGGGCTTGCCCCGGGTCAGTCGGTGTAATCACTCCAGCTCTTCTGTCAGTCACCCATGGAGGCCAGCAGCCAGGTGGTGGTCCAAGGTCTGGGTTGTACAGATGGGGCCTGGGAACCATGATGATCAGGCTGAGTGGGTACTCACGGGGAAAGCGTGGCCTGCCGAGTGAAGGGGGCTTCAGTCCCAGCAGTGCCCCCTATGTTGAACATTCATGCTCTGGTTGGAAAACAGTGAGGGACAGGGGACTTTAGAGACAGGACAGCGAATGAGGGTGAGATAGACTCTATGGAAATATGGAGCGATGGGCCAGTCCAGAAGCTCGGGCCCACCCCAGGCTTCCAGCCCAGTAGCATAGGAAGAATCATGCCAGTAACGTGCCACTAACAACAACCATAATAGTAACAGCAGCTACAACTGTCACCACCCCCAGCTCAGGTTTGCTGAGCACCGACTGTGTTTGAGGAGTAGTCCTAAGTACTTTGCACGCGCATCTCTTCACCTTCCCAGCACCCACATCAGGTTGCTGCATCCCGCACGATTAGGTTCTAGGTCAGCTAATGAAGTAAAGGGTCCCACATAAGCAAAATTACCTCCGGAGACCCCTTAATTTCAGTTGCCCATGACATGTGGTGCAAATCGCTTTGTGGGTACTTTTCCTCCCTTTAGTAAATCTGGTGCGGTCAGTGTTGGAACCCATCACTGAGTTTCTCCTTGAAGTTACCGCCTTGTGTTTAGTGACCAAGACATTTGAAAATCAGCTGTCTTCCTCCCTCCCTTTCTTTTTACCTTCATTCCTTCTTTTTTTCCTTCTTTCTCAAATCAAGATAGTAATTGACTTTGCCTAAATTAAGTGCATATATAATGCAATTCCAGTATATTATTCTCATTTTGCAGACGAAGACTTTCATCTCATTGTTAATAATAATGGTAAGAGCTCCACAGATGCGTTGTATGTTGTATAATCATTGTCTCGTTTAGACCTCAGGGCGACTCTCTGAGGCAGGCATGACTAATGTACCCATTTCATAGATGAGGAAGCTGAGGTTTGGTGAAGCTGCACAGTTTTCACAAGGTCAGCCTACGGCTAGTAAGTGGGAGTCAGGATTCAAGAGCAGGCAATCTCCAGAGCACACTGGACATGACAGTGTCACAGTTCTGGAGCTGTCCCCACCCCCAGCCGTCTTCCACTCTGGAGTCAGCTTCCTTGCTAGCAGGGAGGGGAGACTCCCATGATTCCAAGCTCACAGGATATAGGACAGCTGGGTCATCGTTAGGTAGAGTGGAGGCCAGAAGCAGGGGTCTGACCCCTGGGAGGACAGGCTGCTCCCCTGACCTGGGGGGCTCTTGAGCTCTCAGCAGCCCCAGGCTGCACTCACTGGGGCCTTCTGAGGCCGGGAACAGCTGAGTCCTTGTTCCTGGTCGGGCCCCTGGGTCTCTGGGCTGCAGCTGAGACTCTGGTTCAGGAGTCACTTTAAAACCACGAAACCTCCCCTGCTTTGAGCAGAGGAGGGGTGCCTGGATGCAGGGGACCCAGGTTGGAGGGGACCCTGTACCGCCACCTCCTGATTCTACGAGGAGCTCAATAACTCCTTGAATTACAAATGCATTTAATTAATCAAAAAGCCTCTCCAGACATTTGAAAAATACTGTAGAACTAACAACAATAACAACAACGGCTGTCAACACTGACTGAGCTCTTGAGAATTCCATGTCTGCCTCTTCCACCAACGGAGGGACAATGAGTCCGGCGGGTACGGAGGGAGGGGCAGGATCTGGAGATGCCTGGGAACCCCCCCACCGCCCTCCAGCCAGACCCAGGGAGGCTCCTGGCCTAGCCCCCTGACCCTCGCTGCCCTCCTGCCCCCTCTTGCCCGCAGGCTTCTCGAACCTCTCCCTGGGGGACCAGATGAGCCTGCTGCAGAGTGCCTGGATGGAGATCCTCATCCTGGGCATCGTGTACCGTTCGCTGCCCTATGACGACAAGCTGGTGTATGCTGAGGACTACATCATGGACGAGGAGCACTCCCGCCTGGCCGGCCTGCTGGAGCTCTACCGGGCCATCCTGCAGCTGGTACGCAGGTACAAGAAGCTCAAGGTGGAGAAGGAGGAGTTTGTGACGCTCAAGGCACTGGCCCTGGCCAACTCAGGTGAGGGCAGGTGTGCGGAGCTTCGAGAGCTCTTGGCAGGTCGGGGGGCACAGCTCTGGGGCCTGAGAGCGGGGCCACTGCAAGGGGCAGGGATGGTATGAACGTGATGGAGCTTGTTGTCACCAAGGTTGTATAAGGAGCGGCCTGGAGTTAAAAAGATGGTGGTGTTGGCCAGCAGTGGTCAAGTATTCCCTAACCCTTGATTTGTAGGGGGCTGTGCTGAGCCCCGATATCTAGACCAGCACACTGGCTAAGGACACAGATTCTAGAGCCAGGGGCTGAGTCAAATCCTGCTTCTGCCACTTGGGTGAATTGCTTCATCTGGGCCTCAGTTCTCCGTCAGCAAAATGGGAACAATGCACAGTCTCTACCCCACAAGACTATGGAAGGGATGTGTTTATATCTAATTATCTTATGCTTACAACATGCGTGGCACATATTAATTGCTCATCTTGTTAAATAAATTAGCTATGAACTTATGGAATCCTTACAAACAACCCTACGAGCAAAGTTCTTATTATTTTAACCCCATTTTACAGATGTGGAAACTGAGGCTTGGAAAGGTGAAGCAAATTGCTCAGGGTCACACAGACTAGGACTCAAACCAACATCCTCTGATTCCAGAATTGACCCAAGCTTATGCCCACTCCTTGAATCTCTCAATCAAATTGCTCAGGCACAAGAGAGAAAACCTTCCCAACTGAGTGGCTGAGTCTGACATTGAAAAGGAGGCCTCGCTCCATTTCTTTAGTCCCACCAACTTCTGGCCGGATTGTCTGGGGAGAGGGGCTGGCCCTGGTGATACGAATGAGGGAGCTTGAATGTAAACTGTGTCCACGCTTAGAGGGCGTCCACCCTGTGCAGGGTGCCGTGCTGGGTGCCGGGGTGAGGGGTGGGAACGCAGAAGGAGAGGGGCAGGATCCCTGTCCTAAAGAGAGTGTCAGCACACACACACATAATTCTGCCATGGGACGGCCTGTGGTAGGGCTCACTGCGCAAGTCTGGGTCAGATGGACCCACGTGCAAATTTCAGCTCTGACCCTGGGCAGGTTGGCCACCTTCCTTCGCTCTGTCTTTGTGCGTAAAGTGGGGATATCTGAGTACCTCCTCCAGATGCTTTTGTATTAAATGATTGAATGAAGATAAAGGACTTAGCCCAGTGCCTGGCCTAGAGGAAATGTTCCATAAATATCAACTATTAGCATTATTATTAGAGGAAACAAAGTGTTATCAGCAAATGGAAGGGAAGAGCTGGTTACCGGATGGAGACGGCACAAACAGGGTAACCAGCCAGTTTGCTTGATACTGTCACGCTTTGACTGAAAGTCCTGTGTCCCTGGAAACCTCAGTCCCTGGCAAACCAGGACAGTAGGTCCCCCTAACAAATGGCTTCACAGAGAATGCAAGGGATGCTGTTCATGCCCCACTCAGACCCCCTTTACTGGGTTAGTGCACCCATACTCCAGCTGCTGAGCTTTGCAGCTAACAGCTCACAGCTGCCCTCTCCACCAGAGACCTACCCTCACCTGCCTTGCCCAGAGGGGTATGTACCTTGGCACCTTCAGCCAGTGGTGGATCCACACAGAGGAACACAAGGCTGGACTCCTGGCAAGGTGGGATCAGAGCTCTGCGCCAAGGCTGCATCCTTGCCTTGCTTGTTCCCACCGTCGCTCTATCCTGCGCCTCTCTCCCTTTCTCCTGAAAGCACACCCTCTATAAATCCACCCAAACCCTTGCCTCAGGCTCTGCTCCTGGGGAACCTAACGTAATACAGGCAGTCCCCGACTTACCATGGTTCAACTTACGGTTTTTTGGCTTTACAATGGTGTGAAAGTGATATGCATTCAGTAGAAACCATCCTTTGAATTCTGGTCTTTTCCTGGGCTAGCGATAGGCTGTACGATACTCTCTGATGATGCTGGGCAGTGGCGGCGAGCCGCAGCTCCCCATCAGCCACGTGATCACAAGGGTGAACAACCGATAGGCTCTGTGTTAGATAATTTTGCCCAATTTCGGCTAACGTAGGTGTCCTGAGCACATTTAAGGTAGGCTCGGCTAAGTTGATGTTCGGTAGGTTAGGTGTATTAAATGCATTTTCGACTTACAATATTTTCAACTGACAATGGGTTTAAGGGACACAACCCCATCATAAGTCGAGGAAGATCTGTACAGAGAAAGAAGCACTTTTTTTTAGTTCAGATCCTTTTTATTAATAAACTGATGCAAAACAATAATTAAAATTTTACGTGCTTCTATAGAGACCATTTACAGCTGAAGATTCCAAAAGTGTAATGTATTCTTTGTTGGAGAATGCTGGCGCTGTTGGCTTTTTAAAAGCACAATTTAGATTGACAGAATAATTGAGCAGATAGTCCAAGTTCCATATACTGTCCCACCCCCGCCCCCACCCCCGCATACAGTTTTCCCTGTTATTAACATCTTGCATTAGTGTGGTAATTTGTTACAGCGAATGAGCCAATATTGATACATTATTATTAACAAAAGTCCATAGTTTCCATCAGGGTTTACTCTGTGTGTTGTACGGTTCTATAGGTTTTGACAAATGCGTAATGACAGGTCTCCATCATTGCATGTCACGCAGACTGCTTTCCCCACCCTGAGAGTCCCCTGTGCCCACCTGTTCAGAGGGCAGCATCTTTGCCAGCCACTGCAGAGGGGCTGGGAGCTTGGGTGGGCAGACGAGGAGGGGGAACACGGGGACAGCAGACAGGTGAGCACAGCGAGACCCAGCAAGGTGGTGGAGGGCATGTCCTCCATTGTGGACTCTCTCGACCACTTCAGACCAAACCTAGAGATCAAGCTGGCCCATGCTGGGGAGGAGAGTGAAGAGAGGGGAGGCCACTCAACTGTCGCCTCCACCCCACCCCTCCACACCAAGCTGCAAGGGCTTTCAGATGGCTGTTTAGCTCGGCTGGCATCTCACACCTTGCTCTCAACACATACAGACCTGCACACAGACATGCACAGACACGTGCATGCACAGACACGTGTACACAGGCGCATGCATACATACAGACACGTACACAAATGCATGCTCACACACATATGCACGCACACACGCACCACCTGAGGATCGACATATCATAACATGAGCCCCTCGGGAGCCGCAGCTGGCATCAAGCTTTGCCTGAGGAGACACTTTGTCATGTGAGATGAAGTTTTAGGAACCCAGACTTTTTGCTCGGGTGGCATCTACCAGGCCATCCTGCAGCTTATGTGCAGGCACAGGAAGCTTGAGGTGGAGAAGGATGAATGTGTGACGCTCAAGGTCCTGGCTGCATAGTGGACAAGTAGCTTCAGGCAGGACGTGGGGAAAGAACAGGGCTGTTCAGGGATTAGGGTAGAAAAGCAGGTTAGGGTCAGACCAGAGGTTCCAGGGCTATGAAGAGATTGGGTTGTAATAAGGTCAGTGTAGGGAACCATGAAGGTTGTAAGAGAGTGACTTGTCCCTCACAGCAAGGTGGGAAAGTCACCCAGACAGACAGTTGGCTGGAGGAGACAGGGGCCAGGAGATCATGGAGCGGTCCTGGTGGCAGCCCCAAGGTTCCACTGTGGGTGCTCCTGCTGAGGTTGAGTGCACAAGACAAGACCCGTCAGCCATGGCTCAGGGGACTGACTTTGGGCAGAAGAGTGAAGTCCATCAGGGACAGGCTGTGGCCCCAGACCACGGCCCCGCGGGAGCCTGCGGGCTGCCTTTCACCCTGAGTCCCGCCATCTCCAGGGCTCGCTGACAGCAGAGAAAATTTATAGCCATTGATTTTGTAATTAACAGTTTATCAATGCCATCGATACAGACTCACTGATGGATTGCAAAGAAATTAATCTTGCAATGTTATTTTATTTCATTTTTGGTCGAAGGCAGCTGCCAATTTTGGCCTCCTTGGGGAGGGTGGGGGGATGGGGAGAGGAAGCTGGCAGGAGGCAGGGAGTCCGGATGGCCGGGTCCCAGCCTTACAGGCACCAGTGCATCTTGGGTGCATACTCTGTAAACAGCAGAGGGGCTAGGAAAGGAGCCATCCTTCCTCTCTAACTGGCAAAGAGGGAGTCCTCACTGCCTTGGAAACGAGGAAGAGAAAAATGTGGAAGGGTCTTGAGTATGGGGCCAGTAACAGCCCAGCCCTGCAAGGACGCTTGCCCGCAGTCTGAGTCCTCACAATAATGATAATAGGAACATTTATTAGATGCTTACAAAGTGCCTGGTAATGTGCTATTTCATTTAACTCCCACCACCCCTCTGGGAGGTATGCGCTCTTATTTGCTCCATTTTACTGACGAGGAAATCTCAGAGAACCTAAGTCACTTGGCCAAAGTCACATAGCATTTAAGTCTCCAGACGCTTATCTACCTCATTCTACTGCTGTCCTCCCGTGAGAAAGAGGCAGGACCCGTGGAGGCATGGGCTGAGTGTGGGTCCAGGGGGTCCGAGGGAGGCACTGGGGTCAGCCAGCGGGTGCAGCTACCCTTGCAGTCCGGCATCTAAACCAGCCCAGCATGCTAAGGAACTGCCCTGCTCATTGGAGGAATTCAGGAAGCCCGCCCAGCCTTCCTTGGCAACCCACCCAGAGCATCGGCGCACTTGCTCACACACACCCTTACCCACCCGTGTTCGCGGGCATGGGGCGCCGCACTTCAGGACGGTGGCAAGGGTCTTTGAGGATCATCGGAAGAAGCCTGGTTATTTACCCCGAAGCCAGGAAGTAGGTTTCAGAAGATTCCCTTTGCTTAGGCTCAGACTCAACTATCACCCAGCTGTCGGCGGGTGCCTCCCTGCCCTGCTGGGACTTAGATAAATTTTGTTTGAATCCCCCATTCCGGGCCCGAGTCCAAAGCCCTCCCCAGGATGTTAGAGAACTCCCAACGGCATCTTCCATCCCTGTACCCCATGCCTCCAGCCACGTGCTTTCAGTCCCTCCTACGCCTTCCACCACAGGGCACCCAGACACAGAGCTCAGCCCCTTTGCCTGTGTCTCTGTTCTGGAACCAGCACTTTGTAAGGTTAGAGATGGTGCTGAAGACTTGAGCTGGTGCCTGGCAGTAGCAGCAGCAATGGTAGTAGTGGTGATGGTGCTGATGATGATGATTATGATGGTGATGACGACGGTGATGATGATCATGATGATGTTGATGGTGATGGTGATGATGGTGATGATGATGGTGAAGATGATGGTGATGAAGGTGGTGATGATTGTGATGATGGTGGTGGTGGGGGTGATGATGATGGTGATGATGATGGTGGTGGTGGTGATGATACCACTAGCTGGGCACTTTGAGACAAGGACGGTTTTAAGCCCTTTACTTGTATTAAGCCCTTTACCGGACAACACTCCCCAGATCCCCTCCTTCTGCTTGCTTCTCCCTCCCCTTCACACCCTTCAGGGCAGGTCCAGAGCTTGTGGGCCTGTAGGAAGCAGGGGATGTGCAGAGGTAAAGTATGGCTATTATCTCATTTCACAAGTGAGGAAAATGAAGCACAGAGAAGTTAGATAACTTGCCTAAAGTCACACAGCTAGCAAGTAAGGGATGCAGGATTCCAACTCCACCTGTCTGGCTCGAGTCCACCGGGCACCTTCAGGACAATGACAGGTCTGCTCATGTTCAAGCCCTTCAGGTCTCCGCTGCCACCTCTTGGTGGTTTCTCAAAAGTGTCCTCCAGAGATACAGCTTTCTCCCTGGGTCAGAGCCCCAGCTCTGTCATTGGCCTCTGTGACCTCAGACTGGCAGCTTAACCTCTCTGAGCCTCGGTTTCCCTTTTTGTAAAGTAAAGATTTGCAAGGCTCCAAAGCAGAGACCCAAGGGCCAGGGGTGGCCCCCACGCCCCAGGGCAGCGCTCTCCAGCCACGTGCGCTGATGCTCACCCTGTGCCCACAGATTCCATGTACATCGAGGATCTGGAGGCAGTCCAGAAGCTGCAGGACCTGCTGCACGAGGCGCTGCAGGACTACGAGCTGAGCCAGCGCCACGAGGAGCCGCGGAGGACGGGCAAGCTGCTGCTGACGCTGCCCCTGCTGCGGCAGACGGCCGCCAAGGCCGTGCAGCACTTCTACAGCGTCAAACTGCAGGGCAAGGTGCCCATGCACAAACTCTTCCTGGAGATGCTGGAGGCCAAGGTCTGATGGCCCGGCACGCGTACCGGCTCCTGCCCGCGGACGGACACACAAACGGACGGACTGACGCAGAGACCTCCACAGCCACCAGCCTCGACCTTCAAGCCCTGTATCATGGCCACGAGCGGTCCCAGAGGAAGGGGTTTCTCGCCCCCCAGCTGTGTGCGGAGTCCTGGGTGCCATGGGGCGGGTACCGGGAGGGGAGGGCAGGGCGTGGGCTCACCTGTAACTGGCTTTTTCTTTGGTATGTTTTTCCTTCTCATGGGCAGTGCGGAAGCCCGGCTAGGGCTGACTCCCCGAGACGGGAGACCACTGAGGAAGTGCCCCTTTCCCACCAAACCACCAACAGGCAGCGTGTCCGTTTCCTGACCCCACCCCACCCTGCCCTCCCCCACCGAGGGCCTGGGTGGGCAGTGCTCAGTGCCCAGGATTCTGGCACACTCACGTTGGGTGCCACCTGGAGGTTTTCCTGTCCCAGGGGGCAGGCGCTTTCTTCCCTACCTCCTCTGAGGTTCTTTGGGGCCCCTCAAGAGGCCCTACATGTTCCACAGTCCAGACGGGCTCCCTTCCTCCATCTTTCCGCTCAGCTCTGCACACACTCAGCTCCCAGCCAGGACTCACCATCAGAAGAGTAGCCGCCAGCACTCACACGTTTTCCTGGGCGCCCCGCCCCTCAGCGCACCTCCACCTGCTCATCACCACTGCACAGTGCCTGCCGAGTCCCCCAGGAGTCCCCTGTGCTACTTCCTGCCCCTACCTCAGAGCTCACTCAGACAGTGGGTTCAGCCAGCCAAGATGACTTCAGGGCTGGCTCGGAGAAGAGCAGGGTCCTGACAACACTCCCCGGAGCTCCTCCTTCTGCTCGCGTCTCCCTCCCCGTCACCCTTCAGGGCAAGTCCAGAGCTCATGGGCCTGTGGGAAGTGGTGGATGTGCGGGAGGTGGGGGGGGGGGGGGGCCGGCCCCATCCGAGGGCCCCTGGGCGCTCTGATTCTCCACTGACAGTCCCCCGGGGGGTCGGGGCAGGATGGGGAGAGGCCCACACCAACCTTTGCTGAGCAAAGAAAGACCCAGAAGCAGAGGTCAGCAGGCAGGGGTACCCTGAGGATAGGGAGCTCAGTGGAGGTCGCCAGCCTGCCTGATCCTGGGTGGCCTCCAGGCGCAGTGGACAGCAAGACAGCCTCGCCCCTGCCTTCCCAAGGGCTGGGCGAATGGGGGCCACAGGAGGGGTTGTTCCCGCCACCCTTGGACTAAGGAGTGTGGAGGCACACTGCGAGCGCCCAGCTCTGACTGGACCCCCTCAGGCCTCCTGGCTGCTCTGTAGGATGACCAACCACCCTGGTTTGCCCAGGACTTTCCTGGTTTTAGTGCTGAAAGTCCCGTGTCCCAGAAAACCCCTCTGTCCCAGGCAAATAGGGACAGTTGGCCACCTGACTTGTGTGAGTGGCCACGAAGTCCATGATAACCCACTCGGCGGGCAGCCCTCAATACCCCCAATGGTGCACACAGGTTGGCTGAGGGCTGCTTAGGGATCTCGAGAGTGAAGGGGCATCAAATGTGATGGAAAGTGCCCCCCCCCCCCAGCAGCTACCTTCTAAAGCAGGGATCAGGGCAACCCCACCTGGGACACTTTTCTGGGGAATCCACACCCATTCTAACCCAGCCTCCCGTGGCCTGGACCAGCACACCAGGAGGCCGGGTGCCCTGTTCCACAGGCTCGAGGCTTTTCCGAGGGAAGCAGTTGCTGCTGGTGCTGCCTCGCTGCCTCTCCGCCTCCCCCCCTCCCCCCACCACTCCTCCTGAACTTCCCTTCCAGGACAGGCGAGGTCCCCCAGGCAGGAGGGTTGGCCACAACCCAGCAGCTCTGTAGGGGTTTTCCGATGTCCTCACACAGAAGATGTCCAGGGTTCCCAGGGCCCTCAAGACGAGTGGGGGGGTGCTCCTCTCCCCTCCCTTTTGCCTGTGGGAGATCGGAGGCCACAGTCACTTGACGCTTGATGTCAGCATTGGAATTACGACCTTATCCGGGATGCTTCCTCCCCAGCTCCCCTTGCAGGATCTGGGCGCAGGCACAAGCACCTCCTCAGCATCAGGCACTGAGGCCAAAACCCAAGTCTAACCTAACCTAACATTAGGGCCTGTGCCCCAAGGTCTGAGTTGGAGAGACTTCCCTGGGAGAGAACGTGGGGTCTGCGCTGCGAACGTCCCCAAGAGTCTCGCTGTGCCCTGTGCTTGAGGGGGTGGGGCAGAGGGCGGCATCGCATCGCCCCCGCACCCCATTCTCTGCAGCGTCACTTCCTGCTCAGGCAGGAGGGCCCGAGCCGCCAGCCAGGGCAGGGCCTGTGTGCACCTGCATGTGCAGTCCGTCTTCTCTGGGAGGAGCATCTCCGGCCAGCCGTGCACCTAGGTTGGGCGGGTGTTGTTCTGCACACAGGGTAGCTTTCCCTCGCCGGATCCAGGGCTTCTGCTGCCGTCCTGGCGTCAGAGCCTGTTTCGAGCAGGAGAAGGGGCGGTGGTCGTGATGGCTGGGTGCCAGTGAGGTGGACGCTGGGGCTGCTTTTATGCTTAAACAGTTCCAGTGGCACCAGGAAATGTCCCAGGGACAAGGGGAGGTCCGTGCGATGGAAAGGCCAGGCCCCGGTTTGTACTTGATGGGTCCGTCAACGTTCAGAGAAAGAGTTGACCTTCTCAGTTCCTGCTTCTTAGTTGGGGGCCTAGCCAGCTCAGGACTCCCTGGGAAGAGGACGGCCCTGACTTAGGTGGGCTGGTGGAGTGAGGAGAGTTTAGGGCACCCTGCCCCCCAACAGAGCGGAACTCACGTTTACCCCAAGTCTGCTGTTCCCGGAAAATCTGTAAAGAGGAAATAGCCCTTCTTGCTTGTACTCTCATGATACAGGTCATTGAAATGAACCAAGAAATAAAATGTACAAATCCAACCACGGAGAAGGTGGTATTGGCTGGGTTTTGTCTGGTCCCTGTGTCCCCACTCTTTCCAAAGCTTATGGAGTGGTTCTGTCGCACGTGAACCTGAACAGTGGCTCCTAGTCTTTGCACACAGGAGACTTCGTTTCTGAGGTCACAAATTTAAGAACCAAGCAGGAAGCTCCCAAGAGCAGATCAGGGTGTTGGCTGGGAGGCCATGGCAGGGCCTTAGAGGAGGCAGAATCCGCAGCCTGGCCTGGGTCCCTTCCTCCAGACTCTCCCCTCCCCCTGAGCAGATGGAGAAGATGGCGGGGAGGTGATGGGGAAGAGGTGACAAACTTGTGACAGGAAGACGGGCCCATGCCCACGGAACAGCACCAAAGAAAAGCACTGTGTGGAAAGATTGTTTTATTTTCTAATAATGATAATATGGCTGGAATGGCTTCTTAAGATGTATATATTTTTTAAAGCGGCAGGCCCTCATTGCCTCATCCACCTGTACGTATTTCTGCCTCTGTATGTGTTCCCCCAAATACCTCGGTGTAAATCACCCTAGGATTCTTCCGTCCTGGTCCCGTGAATCTGGAATCTAATAAATAAGGAACAGCGTCCTGGAGAGTCTCTTCACACGTTATCTTTCCGGCTGGCTGGCCCCTGGACGGCCCTGCCCTCCGGTCTCAGGCTGATGCTAGGAGAGGCCGTCGGGAGACCTGGCTCAGCCTCAGAGCTCTCAGGGGATTCAAGTGGGCATTAAAAAGTGGGTTCAGTAGCAGAACTCAGGAATAAACCTTGAGCAGTAGGGTACAGGTCCGAGAAGCCCCTCTACTGCTTTTTATACTTTTAAAATTAAGGGCGAGGTACTCTAATGTCAGAGAAATGGAACATCAGATGTATGTGAACCAAAACCAATTCGTTGCCTTAGGATTTTGAAATGTATCTGTGTACGCGTGCATGCAACACTGACAGCAGAGAGACCTCACATGTACCAGGACACACTCAGGAACAGTGAGAAGCAGAGGGGAGGCCCGGAAAGAAATCAAAGGGCACTGTATCAGGATGCCTTTTGTTGCAAGTAAAAGAATCCCAGCTTATATTGACTTGCTGGATTTATTGCCTTGGATATATGTGAAGTCCAGAGGCGGGGCAGGCATCAGGTGGGGTCTGATCCAGAGGTTCACAAAGTCAGTAAGGCTATGGCTCTGCTTCTCTGATTCTCTCAGTTGTGCTCTCTTCTGTCTGTTTGCTTTGTCCTCGAACCAGCCTCTTTCTTGGTAGCAAGAAGACTGCTACTTTTTTATTTCACATCATGAGGGGGGAGAGAAAATCTCTTCCTACAACCACGGAAAATGTCTGAGCTTCATTCTGAACCCCAGTGGCTTTTCTAAGTGAAACACTGACCAGCTTGGGGTGGGACCAGTCTCACTCAACAGCCTGGTTGCTACACAAGAAAGGTGGAGTTGGAAGTCTAGGCGACAACCAGCCAACCACGATGCCCATGGGACCCACATGTTGGGACAGCTCAGGGTCTGGTCAACTTTCAGTGAGCTGTTTGTAAGTTTCCTGGACTCTTGGATGATAGGATCTGCATGGCAGTTTTGAACTCAGTACCTAGCAAGTCTCCTGCGTGGAATGTATTAAGTATTTGAGGGAGTGAAAGTACTGTTTGTGGATTATTTTTAGGTAATTTTCCAGTTCCCTTCACTGCATCTGGTTCGTGTGTTCCTGTGTGTACCCACACACACACCCACACACTCACACTGACACACCCACACACTCACACTGACACACCCACACACTCACACCCACGCACTCACGCCCACACCCACACACAGCTGGTATTCATGCTGCTACCTTAAGAAAAAAATTAGGAAAGAGTCCACCATAACATGATAGGACACAATCAAAATAGAAATATTTATTGGACTATCTGTATTTTAGGATTTTTTGTAATACTTCTTCCTTTGGTATAGATAATTATGATCAGACAAGCTAATAGCTCATTTATTCAGAGGCTTAACCTTCATCTATATGTCCGTCTCACTTTAATTGTTCTCTAAATATTCTCCCCTTTGTGTTAGCAAGAGAACTGAAGCTGCAAAGAAAGGGGAAAATACAACTAAGGGTCATTCATTCATTCAACAAATATTTATTGAGGGTCTGCCCTGTGCCAGCACTGCTTTGGGCACGGCGACTAGATCAGCAAACAGAACTAGCACAGTCTCCATCTC